ACCGCCTTTAAAGGCAGCTTATATATTTTGTGGTAAACGTTAATGAGAACAATATTATCGAAACATATTTTTTTACAGTGATTGGCGCCTGTGCAAGTGACCCGTGTTTAAACCATGGTACATGCTACGAAATCACCGGCACCTCAAGCTATGTCTGTTCGTGTACAGCCGATTATCAGGGTACAAATTGCGAAATAGGTAACTATCAGTATCAGTAACATTCGAATTTAATGTCTGTTTTTTTATCATTTTGTATTCATTAATTTTGACTCACGATCACGTTCTGATTTTCGTTGACAGGAAGTGGACTATGCGGCTCCAATCCGTGTCAAAATGGCGGAGTGTGTTCAGATGAAGGAGATCATTATAGATGCGAATGTCCCGATACCTTCGTTGGAACAAACTGTGAAGAAGGTCAGTATTTGTCAAATAACCCACAGCCGTAACAATTGGCAACTTGAAACACGATGCAATTGTAGGGTAATTTATGTGTGAAGAACTAGTATCAACGAATTAGACGAAGGTTTTGGTGCAGATCATGTTTTACCAAGTTGTGTCGTGCAGACTTTTTTCCTCGATTCTTACGTAAAACACCTGTTGACACAGTGGTCAGTTGCTTCCTCATGTAAATATTGCGCGATACGTTTTAGAGTCATCATACACGCGTTCGTCACGTGGATACTGGATTATGCTGACGCAACAATACTCCGGGTGCATATTTTACACTGCCGAGAACGAGATGTTTAATTTGTGCTCGTTTTTAATTTGAAAACGGATTTATAATGAATGACGTTCAGTTCAGGACACCCGTTTTTGTGTTCTTGTTATAGCCCATTCGCTGGTTGGTCATGTGATATTTTGTACGATTTGTACAATTTTGCGTAAACATGAGCCGCTGACGGCACGCGTCCTGCATAAACTTGGAACGAGCTTGCAGTGTCCCGATGTTGTCAAAATATGCGCGTCTTAGCTTGGCATAAAATATCATTCAGTATGAAGAAAGTCGCGCGCTGGTTTTCAGGTGACGTCATATTTACAGGATATATTAAGACAGAATCATGGGAATGTGTAAACTATCGATTGATCACTTTGGTGTTTTCGTATTTGCCCTTTTTTTGTTTTTCTATTTGAGGATAATTGTCAGCATGCGTACTACTCTGTTGCATGACACGGTAAACATCTTGTCATATACCGTCCCTGATTACGTGACTTTACTAGCTAATGCATGCCGGGTGTTGTAGTCAGGTCATCGGGTAACCCTTCCCTTCGTACCCCATCTTTGTTACAGTATTCACGTTAACTCCATGCGAAAGCAACCCTTGCCAGAACGGTGGAGCATGTACGGAAGTTGGTCATAAGTACACGTGTGCATGCATTGGAGGTTGGGAAGGATCTACCTGTAGTATTGGTATGTATAGATTTCATAAAATTCATCTTTGTCTTTCTCTGAGGGCGTGCTTGCGGGAGAGGAAACATCCATGGTAACCACGCATGACTATTACTGTAACAATGCCTGCATAATATCCCCGGTTATATTGTAGTTGTGTGTAACGAAGTGAACTCAACTTTTCGACTTCAAAGCCAAGTATTCGAAATTTGTTTTACAACTGAAAATTATCATCTAGCAAAGTTGCAAAGTATTGAGTGAAATTGATAAAAATGTATAATATACGTTACTGCATCTAGGTGATCCATGTTTGAGTAATCCGTGTCAGAATGGCGGAGAATGTGACTCTAATGAGGACCAAACCTACTTCGTGTGTCAATGCACAGATGATTGGACCGGCGAGACTTGCAGCCAAGGTACGTGTATCTGTCGACTTTCTTTTGGGGCCCGGTGGGGGAGTCACTCTGATACTATATCCTCCTTCTGCTAATTAAAACACAGTATTCAATATTGCCTGACACATTGTAAATTCCATGGGATTCGATTTCGCATTAATGTGTATTATTTCGGTTCAAGTACTTCCATGCTCCAGAACTATTGTACGTTCATTGTAAGGTGGCTGCCATGGTAACTGTGGCAAATGGATTAGTAGAGTGAGAAACGCGTATCCAGCACATGTTTGATGAACAAAAATGCCTTATTTGGTTATTCGATTAATGTTAAATAGATATTATGATGTAATTGCGATATATATATATATTTTTCAGTAAAATTATTTACTACTCTGTTATACAGCAATAATATTGTATCATTGTGATAATATATTACCAGTATTACGGACTTAAATTTCAGGTTTTTTTTGGAGGAAAATAAAATCCAACACTAACTCTTTGAGACATTTCCTATAGGTGCCTGCGAGCGCAGCGATCTTTGTCAAAATGGAGGTATCTGCGTGAACGGGGAAGATGGGTCGTCTTACACCTGCGACTGTCCAAGCGCGTGGACTGGTCCCACCTGTGCGTCCGGTAAGCGCGATTCACCCTGACGCGTTATGTCAGATGTGCATGCTGTGGACTAGACTGGCCCAGTCGTGGCAATTTCATTGTTTTAAATAGTTTTTAGAATCTCCCTGCGTTGACGTAATTTTGCGTCGGAACACGATTTAAGAAAAAATAATATAAAAATGTCACGGCTTGGCCAGTGTTGTTGTTTATGTGTCGCGTGGAGTGTTTGTTTGTCATAGCTAGTACGTCACGCCCTGTACGGTGCATGTTGCTTTCATCGATTTGACGTGTGCAGTGCTTTTGATATTGTCCTTGTACCGACTGTAAGCCACCCAGTAATGTAACGCTTTTAACTAACTTTAGCCAGATATTTACTGTTATAACTAACCCTATCTAGATATTACAGTAGCTGACTAACGTCTTTACTTTAATTTTCATATTGCATGACTCAAAGTGCCACAGTCGTCACGCTCCGTGTTCGATGCGTACAGTGCGTGCAAAATACACCGCCTCTCACACGAAATTGGAACCACGAGCTGCTAGTCGACTGTGGTCTTTTCTAGCTTGTTATGTATATCTCTTAGTTTTCGTTACGCTTTGCTGTGCTGTGTACATTCCGTAAAGTTGTTTAAATATTCCTATGTTAATGTAAAACTTGAAATATACTTGCTACATGACCTGCAGTGAATCCTTGTAATAGCACACCTTGTAGAAATAATGCTGTATGTGAAGGCTCCGTGTCGTCCTTTAAATGTGAATGTCAGCCCGGTTGGATTGGAGATCTATGCGATACAGGTACACAGTTTCTGAAATATTTGATGTCTTCGTTTTGTCCGTGGAAACATATTTTTGGGCATATATTTTGGGCAAGTTAAGTGAATGCCAATTACTTGTTTTGACGGGTTAGATATTTTCATTTCGACAGTGAACAATTTTAGCACATCTCACAGTAATTCTTTCGTCAAGTGATAGCCTGATTACGTCTGGTTGGTTGTCACTGGCAACAATATTTTTCCGCGAATGGTTCGGCAACATAGAATGGTTCGGCAACATAAAAATCATGGCAGAATTTGTACATCCAAACATATTTTGATCAGGCTCGAGAATTTTGTGAATATTATCGCATTAAAATGCTTGTGTGTATGCTGTTTGGCCTTTGAACATCTAGTCAGGGGCTATGAGTGAGAAGTTATCCGTATTGACGGCCTATTCTCATTTAGTGTTGCTATGGTTTCAAAACGTATTGTATATAAATGCCGAATCACGTGATCAATCGATTATTCATGATGTGCTCACAACTATTATGTTAAGTGTTAATTCCTGAGAGATATTTATGAAACATAAATTAATTGGAAACAAATCATTTAATAATTTTTGCCAAAACAAGAGTGACTGACACGAATTGCAGCCCTGTAAGATTTTTTTAACAGCACTCTGTTTTGTAACACGCTGTTTACATAATCACTGCATTAATGTAACACACCTTCCTTTTCTTGTAAAGTAAATCCATGCAACAGTGCACCGTGTCAAAATGGCGGAATATGTACCTCGGACGTGACTGGATATTCCTGCATATGCGTTGTGGGATACCTTGGCGGCAACTGTGAACATGGTAAACTACTCTACATATATTACAAACTTTTAACTTCATTTCGTTCTGCAGATCATTTTTCTATAGGCTAACTCCGGGAACAGATCTCAATGGCCTTTTTATTTTGATGTCTGCATGACAACAATACTACATAAAGCATCGATATTTTTTTACTTTTTAATTTTACGTGAAAGTGTAATTTGTTTTTCGATTACCTATGATGCACCACGGCCTATCGGCATTGCCCATCAATGTGAGTGTCGGTGTAGTAGTGAGTATTAGCCCGTCTCCCGTCTACATCAGACTCGCGCACGTTTTTTCCGTTTCTCGTGAATGCCACAACAGCACGGTGGCAATACGGGCTGTTGTCAGGTCATGTACGAGCCTCGAGGTGAAAAAGACTGGCTATCAAAATGTCCGTTATCTGTTAGCAAGCACCAATCGGACACATCCTATCACGGCCACATTCATATCACTGCACCCTTCGAACTTTATTTTTTCAGTGGACTATTGTGTGTCTGATCCTTGCCAAAACAGTGGCACCTGTGCCAACACGGCCACCACCTACATGTGCACGTGTGTGGGTGGCTGGAGAGGGACAAGCTGCGAAGCGGGTAACATTCAAAACTAATTTAGTGTGGGTGTGATACTTTCTCATGCATGCGAGAATTGCGTACATTGTTTTGCTTTTATTGTGCTTTATCCAACCCTTCTACCACCACTAACCACAAAATTCTGCTTCCGCAACATAGTCCTGACTCAAAATCAGGTTTTTCCCAGAAAATATATTCATCGAAGGTCGCTAATCTTACACCGACCGATGTATATATACACTGTACATGTACTCTCTTGAAATGTACTCCTCACTCTTTATGCTAATTTTGTGTTACGAACTATTTTATGCAAATTCCATATATGACTGTTACATTCAGATGTAATGTAGTTTACATAATTTGTTGTGTACTGTCGAGTCGCTGCTCCTGCATGCCATTACAAAAAACACATGTTTTAGTCGTAAAACAGTGGGGGACTCAGTTTGCTGTCAATAACGTGGTTTTTTAATTTTTCATTCAATTGTCTAATATTATTTAATTAATTCTTCATTAGTCGATTACTGTTATACCGTGCCGTGCCAGAATGGTGGGACGTGTACAAACACAGCCACAACGTTCCAGTGCGCATGCGCAGCAGGATGGACAAACACAGATTGTTCATGGGGTAATGGTGTACATTTATAATCGTTGTACACGTGTGTTCTGATTTCCTGTTTTTTGTTTGTTTGTTTGCTGTCGTCGCCATAGTGATTAGAATAGTGGAATAACACAGCTGATTTATTCACATCGATTATGACAAACATGCGTGTGTTGATCACTGCTCTTATACGTGAATTGTTATTAGTATTTTTGTTTCATACATACACTTTAGTGGCAGTTTGTGAGAATGGCGGACCTGTTTTTGTACTAACACATTAGTTGTTCGATTGATAATGGTGTAATTTATGTTATATTAGTTGACCACTGTGCGAGTACCCCATGTCAAAACGCCGGACTATGCGAGGTTCATTCAACGGGTTACGACTGTACATGTATGCCGGGATGGCTTGGAACACAATGTGACCAGGGTAAAGTCTTCAACGAATTCAAACTATTTATTTAAGCGTAGACGTCTTGTAAGGGTCTGCTAGTGATAATCTGCAAAGCATGACGTAACGCAATACATAGGAATACAATTTTCAAAATCACTATTATTGGTTTATTGATAAAACTATTATATTACTGAGGGGAGAACAAAATGACTAATCAATGCATGAATGATCGAATATATTCTTAGCTATTGAACAGTTCAAAAATCAAAATCAAATTCAAATTTGCATGATATTAATATGTCAAACGGAATGTTGCATGGTGAAATATGAATTTCACGAAATAATAGACATAAATATGATCGTTTAGTAGCTGATAATAACTTTCTTTATTATTGTTAAAATAGGAATTATTTAGCAGCACAAATGACGATACACTTGGTTAAAATAATTTAATCACCAACCACTATAATTATTAAAGTAATACGCTGAATTAGAGATTAGAAAATCTAACGAATTTGGTTGATTGTAAACTGTTTCGATCATTGTATAATGTTTGTATGTATTTTTTATTATAACAGTGGATTATTGTTTAAGTGTTCCCTGTTTAAACCAAGGCACATGTACAAACAAGCTAGATGGTTACGACTGTGATTGTCAGACAGGTTGGATTGCAACAAACTGTACACAGGGTATGAATTCATAGCATACGTTAGTTCTTTTGCCTTAACGTTTTCATCGCTCGGAGAGTTTTATATTAGATTGTACTCGAATTAACAACAAAAAAAAATGCTCTGCTCAATCTCACCGTCCCGTCGCGGCGATTGCTAAGTAATAAAAGGCGAACATACCGTTCGTCATTCCTTGTTAACATCGGACGCCTCACACCTTACATTTCAGTGGACTACTGCGTTTCCATGCCATGTCAGCACGCTGGCACGTGTGTAAACTTAGACACTATGTACGCATGCACTTGTGCGGGAGGATGGAGAGGAACGAACTGTGAACTGGGTAAATCACAAATTATATCTTGCATGCAATGTGTGGTAAACTTTTCTCAGCATGTCAACTCACAATATATATATATATATATAGTTCCTACTAGTCGGTCGCGTGTGGTGTGTTGTGCTCTTTTAATTCAAATTATGTGGAAAACAGCGTTACTAACACGGTCATGCAATATAACAGTTACTGCAATTGCAGAATTCTTACAGGGAACTACGCCTTTTATATCTTCAC